CACACACACACACACACATATATATATATATATATATATATATATGTATGAAATCGGAGTTTTATATGCAAAAAATTTCGTTTTGGGTATAAAGCTTCAAAATATTCACAGGGGAAACATACTCCCCGAACTTATCTAGTTCGACGAACAGTAATTGCACGCTCAGATCGGTTTGTGAACACGACTACACTATTACACATTAAATGTATTCAAACATTTGATACCTTCCCACTTTCAAACCCACTCCTCGTGGCCTGAACTGTTCGATGTTTTGGTGAAAGTTTAACACTTGGTACTAAGCTCATTATGATATACACACTTCCAGGTAACGGGCCCAATAGGAAAACGCCCTTTTAAGGCCACACGTTCTCTTACTGTTCTTTATGTAGTTTTTCCAGACAAACTCGACAGCTACCAAGCTAAATTACTTCTGGTTACTAGCTAATCGCGATAATTCATTTCAATAACGTTCAAAGCAAAAGACCTAGTGGTCGTATTTGTTATTTTTCTTATCTTAAAGTTAATAAATTGTTGACTTAGTACTCCCGGTTTTTTCAACCCTCTTCTTTGTGACCATTTAAATATAGAAATGTAGTTAATAGATGTTTCCGTTGATTCGGTTTTGTTTTTAAGTTCTGGGATGCTTTAAGAATTTACTCTAAGATTTTGAACATAACTCATAGATTATCTTTAAGTCGGATCTAAGAGTTTACCTATTGAAATACAGAGGTGTAGATAGACATTTCAGAACTATTGACCATAAACCACAGGTTTGGGTCTAATGTTGTTTGACTATGACAGTGGTTCTATTTGGATCCTTTGTTTGTTTTTTCTATTTCAGTATGAATATCTGCATGAGAGAGGAAGTCTGCAAGATGGCGTGGCTACAGCGGTGATGGTATCTTAACAACACTTTGCACCTATACAGTAACTTAGAACACAATCATCATGTTTAAACGCTGAAAATTGATAGACCTTACTGAGCCAGTTGCTATATCGTAGCAATGTTCATTTTTCACCAAAAAAACAGATGAGCATTTGCAATTTCTCACAAAACCTAAAAAAACAAATGTTACTTTAGGTTATAAAACAGTGAAAGGTTTGGTGAAATGCAATGCATGCTTATTTCCATCTACATAAACACTTGTGATTAAAGATAAGGAGTAGAGAAAACATTATTATTTGTTGATACAAAAGCATCTTTTTAGGACAAATGATATGTTTAGAGTTAATGATGCAAAAAAGCATATTTTTAGGACAAATGATCTGTTTGGAGATAATTATCGTAAAAAGCATCTTTATAGGACATGTCATTTGTTTGGAGTTAATGATGCTAGAAAGCAGCTTTTTAGGACAAACGATCTGTTTGGAGTTAATGATGCTAGAAAGCACCTTTTTTAGGATATAAGAGACGCCATTTAGAGTCTATCCCTCTTATCGAAGCTACGCTTTTTCAACTTATGAAACGAAGTATGTATTGAAGAGATTATTTCTGGAACCATAATCTGCTCCCAGAACCAAAGAGGCCTAATCCGAGTGACAAAGACCCAAGATAGTTGGGAATCATTATGGGCAACTATTGCTGGAGCAACCATTGCTGTCATTAACTCATTTACTGTTCTAAAATCTGTTCCTCCCAAAGATGCAAATGCACATAGCTGCCTTGAAATGAACATATTTGAGACAATGTAGCAGTCATGACTGACGCATTGCGGAATACAGATGATTCATGACACGCAGACAATAATTAACTGGATTACTAATGCTAAATACATTCTCTATTAATACAGAGGAAAAATGTATCTAGTTTTACCGTGTAAGTTAAGAATGCCTGTATCATATTATATAAATAAACAAATAATCGCTTTCATAGGTCTATAATAGAAACATTTTGTTTCAATAGATGTTTACACATAAAATCTTACACATCTCCATGCTTAAAGCACTATTATATAATGAAAGCCATGGTCTAATGAATTGGAAAAATATTCACACCCAAAGAAACGTGGTAACGAGACAAGTAAATAAGTGTATAATTAATTTTAAACTATACATATCTAATTTAGACACTTCTTTTATATATTCTGTGTTAATGAACATTATTTACGTTCTTAAGACATGATACACAGTAAGGGCGATTTTATGTCTCAACCCGTATAGGTCAAACTTAAGAAAAGAAATGCTAATTACAATGTTATACATTTTCCGTAATCATTTAAGGTTTTCAGAGAAAAACAGAAAAGCGGTCAGTACACATGATAAACAAAAGGAAAAAGGAATCACTTAAGTTTATGTCCGATATTTCCTAAAGACAGCTTCGTTTGAGAGTCGGGTAACGATAGACGGTTAACATTTAGAAGGCCTAAGTCAACAATTTATTTAATTTCAACAATATTTATTCTTGTAATTGACGGAGGATATTTGTCAAACACACACATACATGGCTTAGAAGTGTTAGGTATCACTGATATTGTTAGCAAGATGAAGATAGTTTTAACAGAATCTATCAAAATAATGTTAGCCAAAACATTTTTGGAAATGTATCGACAAAATACACTCTAAACAATTAATACTGAGTGATTAACAGAGTAAAATATATTAATTCTCACATAAGATTCCTTTGGCTTGACGTAAAAATTGAAAAATAACTGCGCTTAGCCTAATTTGCCAACCAAGTTTCCTAAAAATAGGTCTCCTTCAAATAAATATCATATCACCCGTAGAAAAGCTCCTGCGAAAATTCATTATTTCATACGTACATGTGTATAAATTACTGTTATTTTCATTTGATATCTGATATAAACATTTCAAATTCAATACATACCGTTTGATAAAGTAACACAGCACCCAACAGCAGAGTCTCCAGTAAGATCCATATAGAACTGGATATCATCTGTACAGAAGAAACAATACCAGTAATCAATCAATGATGAATCAGATCTGAATACCCTAACTAAAGTATTAACTAAAATTAGAGTAAGCCTAATTTGTACTTTATTTCTTCACGCCCAAATTACATAACTCCTATAAAATTATCCAACTTTAACTCCTAAATTGTTTCTATTTGTTTCAATTTGGTATTTTTAGAACTGTATAACAATATCTGTTCTATAACAAATGACAAAGTAAGAATAAGATCATAAAATAAATCTACTGCATTACCAAAACCATTAAATGAAGAGTACATAATTTTTAAAATCAATAGTAAATACTTGACTGTTTGAATAGAGACTGTATCATATTCAACCATTTTTGTGAATTTTAGCAATTTTTTATCTTAAGTTATAAAACAAATGGCCAGTTGTTTTAGTTAGTTTTAAAACTTCTAGTGATTTGATCTAAAAGTAGTTTAAAAGACAAATACACCAGAAAACATTTTTTTTTCCCCATAGTCCTTGCGGACCGTCGAGCCGATGGCAGATCTTGCTCTGCCAGCGTTTCTAAAGATGTTTCTTACGTCAAGGATGCAACCCACTTGACAGCCTTCCCTCTTGGAAAGGACGAGCATGTTTGGTGGGACATTTAATTGACATTTTATAAGATAAGCCAGAGCAGCTTTCAAAGAATGGTTTAATTTCTTGTAAACGATTTTGAAATCATAACATAAATTTTAATTTAATTTCACATATATTGACGATCCACTTTCTATTGGAGGTGAGTACAAACCTCAACATGTGGTTACAGAATTAAAGACTTCAGTATTGCTTATGTATCTACTTTTATTAATATCTTTCTTAAATGCTCTGTTGACTAGTTCTTTATAAATAAACAAGTAATATATTTTCAAAAAAAGGATGATGTAGAGATGGCAATGCCAAAAAGTACAGAAACAAGGTAGGGATGAATACACAAAATCATACAAAAATCTCTACATAAGTAGCCAAATATTTTCAAGAAAAACGTTTATCTACAACTAGATATTCACTTCCTTTCATCTGCATGAATTTAGGTTTGCATAAAAGCATTTAAACTGAATAATGCTATAAGCTTGTAATACTGACTCAGTCGCTATTTAAGTAGCGATTTTTATATGGATTTGTGTATTCATTCCTACCTTTGGCATTACCCTACATCATCCTTATTTTTCCAAAAAAAAAAAAATATTAATTATTCCCCATTTTTTAAACCAATACCAACGAATATTTTATAATGAATGGCAGTTGCTATGAAAGCAGCAGTTATAGCCTAGTGTGATGAGTAGTCTGGATATAAATCATGTGTTGAAGTTAGTGAAATACTATACTGCTTCTACACTCCCCAAGCTAAAATGCAACATTTGTATGTGTAAATCATCGCAACAACTGGTGAGCTAACCATTCTAACGCTAGAATAATAATCAGCATGGTTGTTTCGCTACTTGCCTGTTCTCTACTTTAGCAATGTTTTTTTTTTATATAGATAAACTGAAGGTCTTAATAGCTTTTTAAAAGCTAATTTAGGTGTTTATAAAAGTATCTTAAGTGGTTATAAGAGAGATTTCAGTTTATGATGAGCAATACATAATATACGGCGGCCATTTTTCTTCCGGTCCATCCCTACCGTGCTTAGTGATAGAGTAGATTCATTAAAATGTTGAAGCAATTTTTCTAACAGTTGTTTTGCATGTAGAGCAAGGGAGGTAATATTTTTATACATGGTTGTTATTTAAACGTGCTGTACTGTGAATGTCGTAGACGACTTTACGTTCTTCATCAAGATCTTTCGATACTAAACTTTTAATATCTTTAAATATGAGATATGTACAAGTGGATGAACAACAAGTGGTTATTTGGAGGTTTGAATTTGAAGGTGCAAAACTCCGTGAACTATCTTTTGTTTTGTTTGTTTGCCACTGGGTGGCGTGAACTATCTACGTCAACTATTGTTTTTCCAATGATATTATCAAACCTAAAAGAAGCATTACGGGATAAAATGTCTAAAACAACGCCACCACTGAATGTCAAAGCATAAGCATGAAAGTAAAATACAGGCAAGTGTAATTAGAGTGTCGTACTTTGGTAGAAGGAAATGGTAATTCAGTCGCCAATGACAAGCTTGTCAGAAGTACTTTCTCCTTACAATCATTGCGCATGTTAAACAGCCAAACAGTGGTGATAGGCTTGATCTGGAAAAGTTTTTTGTGTTGTTGCCCATCATCTACTAGTAGGCTTGAAGCCTTGTCTTGATGGCAGGCTAGCAATCCATAAATGGGGTAGACAGAGGTTTATGTTACTGGTGAGGTAGATTTGGCTGTTGTGTCGGCAAAATCGTTTCCTGGTCAAGAGTGAAGAAAAGCTAGATGGATAAATGTGATGACGAGAAACTGGTTATGTGTTTTAATACCCAAGAGAAACCAGTGAGAAGGAATATTAAGCAATTCCAGGACCTTCAGAGAACTAAGTACACAAATCATCAGTGAACACACACACTCTATAGAGGATACACTGTGAAAAACAGCAGAATTGTAGCAAGCCATTCCGGAATCCACAGTCACCCAATTTTTAGCTACCTGTAAAACATAGTATGAAAGGATGGCTCCTCTGTTGCAAATGAGCTGGTCATCTGATTCAACAATGTTATATAAAGATCAAAGATTAGGATGGCAGACCGTACATTTGCAAAACTATTAACCCTTTGCGACATAAAGACAGATTGCCAGATGGGTGCTGCAGCAGTGATCAGAGCATTTTAGTATACTGCAAAGTGAGTTCGAAACATTGAATTTCAAGTGGAGGCTCATGGGACTATGTGAAGTGGAGAAGTGTGCAAAGTCCCTGAATGCAAATCCCTAACCAAAGCATAGACCAGATACGCATAATGCGGATTAAATCAGATAAGAGCACAATAGACTTCAAGTATAGAATGTCTATCCACTCCTTATGATGTGGTAGAGAGTATGAGGATAATCTTCTTTGCACTCATAAACTTGATTTTAAGCTGCTTTATATGTGGAATAAAATTCAGCCTACTACTAAAGATAATCCTCAAAGAATTTGTCTCTCCTGACACAGGTGCAACTTGGAGGGAAGAATGGCATCAAAGTCACCGAGTCTCTCCTGACACAGGTGCAACTTGGAGGGAAGAATGGCGTCTAAGTCACCGAGTCTCTCCTGACACAGGTGCAACTTGGAAGGAAGAATGGCGTCTAAGTCACCGAGTCTCTCCTGACACAGGTGCAACTTGAAAGGAAGAATGGCGTCTAAGTCACCGAGGGACAAATTGTATGATGTAAAAAAGTAAAAGCAAACATAATAATAGATTTCAATTTCGAGAGATAAGGAAATTTTATCAGTTATTTTTCTTTTAGCAGAACATAACGATTCGTGTGTTGAATAATCTTGAATATTTTATATTATCATCCAACAGACTTAAATATTCTTAAGCCTAAGCACACTTCGTTTTTTATAAATTATTCTAGTCGCTTGAGGAGGTAAGTTCGTTTTGTGGTTATCTAAGAATATGTGCAGGTGTTTAGAAATGACACCAATTTTATGTCTTTTGTTTCACAAAAGTAGTCGATACTTGAATCAGAAAATTCCGCATAAGAATATCAAGAAATTTTCACTTTGGTTGTCAGACGATATTAATGTATAAGTATATCACAACTTTCAGCTCTTCGTATCAGCAAAATATAGCGTCATGGTGATCACTAATTTCAATTTCTGATTATCTGCACATACAACATAAAGGTATCAATTCAGTTCTAATCATCAGAAAATACCAGTACCAATTATCAAAATGGAGATAATAAGAACCATATTTTTTGATATTATAAAGATACTGCATGAAAACAGGTGTCCAAGAAGTTTAGAAACTTATGAAAAATCATACCGAGAAAACCGTTTAGCACACAGACACGTGTTTATTGCACGTAGAAGAATAGTGTTTAAAGTTTTTACAGCAGCTAATTAAAATCCACAGCGTGCAGGATTTCTGTTTGAAACAAAATAGCGACTACGAAGGAGAAAGTGAAATGTATGATATCCCAAGTTCGATTCTTCTACACAGATACATAGAAAATTCAGTTGACGTTATTAACGGATTCCACCTACATGTAAGACAATTTACAATATTTGTAGAAATAGTTCTACACAAGCAACAGAGTCCTGGCATAGCCTGGTGGTTAGGGTCGTAGGTTCGAACACTCGTCCTTGCTGCACCTACTCAACAGTAACCACTGCAAGTTCTCGGACTACTCTAATCGAATAATGGGATTTGACCGTTATTCTTATAACACACTCATGGCCTCAATGTGCACAGTCCGGCAAGCTAACCATTAGACGCTCGACTGAAATAAAAAATGAGCAATTATGATTTATCAAAAACACTTCATAAAGATATCAAATTACTTTAATTGCTATTATAAAATACGCGGTCTACAGGTTTCACGGACGCCAATAATTAACGCTTCTGATTGTCACAAAGTACTGTATGAGGTCATCAAAATCTCCACGTTTGATTATTGAAAAGTTCTGCTTAAAGATATGATGAACTCATATTAATCTCTAATAAACAATCATTACTGCGAAATAATACAAGAAGAAAAATGCTGAGTTCTGGCTATCAAAATCCCCCTATGCAAGAACTTAAAAACTATAAAGTGCTACCTTCAAATGGTGGGTGCTCTATTTGGCCACCTAACTAGTAACATTTTTTCATCTACTACTCGTAAATGTCTACTAAGTGTTATACTAGCAAAAAAAAAAAAAAGACACAAACAAATGGAAAGTACTGTTCCCTTTAATGATCCTATCACTCAACTTTCCACTTAGTACCAATCTACTTGGGGATCCTGCCTCGTGCTTTAAGACGTAAAGGCTTTAGTTCTTCTTGCTGCCTTCGTTTAAAATGAGTAGTTATATATAAATACACGAAGTATACGTCTCTGATATATTCGCACATTAATTATATAAT